TTCCTCCAATCGAAACAAGTTCACTACTGTGATTAGTGATGAGAATATTAGCTCTGCAACGGGGCATAAAAAATCAGTAGAGTTACATTATCATTTGGAACCGCTTTTGGGAAAGTGTTGGGCGTAGTTCCAGAAATAGAATATGACATATTCGCAAAACGTCAGTATGCCTCGAGTGTAGTTAACACATGTCTATTCCCGCCAATGCCTAGAGGAGGAGTTGATATTCTGTGTGTTTATTGCGATAGAATCTCTTCTACTAGATATGGAAACCAGTCTGTAAATATTTTGGATGTAATCTCCCTAAATGGAAGTGATAACAGCAACAATAAAAAACTATATGTGCGTCTTAACACTAACATGATAGACAGCGTCAGCATTACTATTAGGGATCAAGATGGTAACCCAATACATTTCGATGAACGTGGGTGCACCATAGCAGTCTTGCATGTACGCCCCGTTGCAGGAGGTATATAACACCAATGCTTTCCCGCCACTCCTCATTCGTCTGAAACAAGCGGAGAAATGCGTGTCCACTTTATTCCCCCTCTGTTGAGGAATTATACATTCTGTTAACCCCTCCTAGAGGTGGTGGGACTGATGATATACGGATTTTCAACAGCAGTAGACGTTATACGCGAGGAGGAGGAATATTTTCCTTTTTAAGCGGGATAGCGCGTCGAGCAGCGCCCTTTATCATGAGGACTCTGGCCCCGGCTGCGCTTAGCTTGGGGCAGAACGTACTAGACGACATTAATAATGACAAACAAACTTTCAAACAATCTCTTAAGAAACGCGGAATTGAAATATTGAAAGGAGTGGGGAAGCAAATGATAGGTGGAAGAGTGCAGAAAAAGAATAAACAAACAAAAAAATTAGTAAACATCAAACGTTTTACTAAAGCGAAATATAATAATGTGCTGTCATAACTTCTTCTCACTCGGCTGGTGTTGTCTAAAGCGCGAACATGGCCGGATATAACGCTCTGGGCCTCCAGGTGCCATTAGAACATTATACAGCTGCTGTTAGTGAAGCCTTTCCTAAAGTATTTTCCCCTCGATTGGTAGAATCAACAATTGCCAGCAGACAAACGGTGGATGTATTACCTGTGAATTCTGGGGTCAATAATAAGTTTACAGACACCTATCTGGAATTCATCATCAAGGGAGTGAATGGCCAACTGGTGGATTTATCATATATAGCTTTGGAGTTGTCTATTGATCTAACCGAAGAAGATGGAATAACGCCTTTAGGAGACGCTAAAAACGTATCGTTGGTGAATGGATTATCGCAAACTCTATTCAAATCCGCTATTGTGTATTTAAACGAAACAGTAGTTGAAACCAGCTCTTTATTCTCATTCTGGTCATACGTAAAGTTATTATCTACGATTTCTGGGTGTAAGGCTAACCGCTATGATAAACTGTCACAGTTTTTTAACCGAGTCGATCCTGGTAAAATTGAAGCTGGTTATTTCACTAACGTCTCGGCTGGTGAGAAGCAGCGGATGACTGATATGAAAACGAGTGGCGTGAATACTTGTTTTAAACTAATGCTGGATGTCACATCCGTTAGTGAATACGTTTTGGATAATGTGGACATCAGGGTGCGGCTCGAACTTCAACCTGATAAGTGGCTTATACTCAGCGATAATGAACACGCTAATTTTAAATATAATATCAAGTCTACACGTCTATGGGTGGATCGGGTATTGCCATACCCTGAAGGATTAGTAGCTGTTAATAAAGCCATGGTGCAGAACAACTCTCCTATTACGTATACTTTTAATAAAACTTTATACAAAACGTATATATTGGGCACAGGTCAGCGCTCTATAACAATGGACCAGCCGTGGGGGACTGTTATACCAGAACATTTATATATGATCATCCTTGATATGGAGGCAGTGTCTGGTGCATATAATCGCAACCCGCTTTATTTGGAAAACTGCGAGCTTAGTAAAGTATTAATATCGCAGAATAGCACTAATATTGTCAATATTGGGTGTGACTTCCCTCATAACTGCGCCAAGTTGTATTATACCGCATTACAAGCCTTAGGCTTCGATAAAGACAATATATTATCTTATGACACATATGTGAATGGTGGAACCATACTGGCCTTTAATTTACAACCCAAGGATATAGATGACACCATCCCGATTGAAAAAAGTGGTAATCTGCGGATCGCTTTGGAATTTAAACGCGGAGTGGCTAGAAATAAAGTCATTCTAGTTTATGGGTCTACAACAGGTGTGATCAGCATTAACGCGGATTGTCGCGTTATTTGCGATACGCGAGGATAAAATACTAATATGAATTGTTTGGAAATAAATGAGGCTATCAGAAGTAATTTAGGTGATAAGGTAGACTATCTAGGATGTTTCCTAGCTGATGACGTACGGAAAATATGGATAAAAATACATAAAAAAAGACCTGTGGTGTTCATAATGAACACTCTGGAGTCGGGTTCTCGTAATAAAATGGGCCATTGGATAACATTCTATGTAAATAAGGATGAAGGTAGAAGCGAGATAGTTATACTAGACAGCTATGCCAATCCTGCAATAGGATCTTATTCAAGAAATTTCGAAGAGTTTATGTCTTACTTCCAAGACTATACCCTATATATTATGAAGAAAAGGATTCAATCCTTGAATAGTTACTTCTGTGGGAATTACGCCGTTTATTTTGCATATCATTTTTGCAGACTAGGCTTAGAGGCCGCCCTGCTTCACTTTGATGAAGCGTTTAAATATGGTCAATTTCGCAAGAATGATGAAAAAGTGTTGAAATTCAATTACGCTCAGATGAAAATGCCTGTGTGTAAGCAAACATTCTGCTTAAACAGTAGTGATGCTGAGTGTGAAACGCTGTGTGACGAAGTTGGCTAGGATGATAGTAGGGTGAGTAATACTTTATGTTAGGATTGAATGATGAACATAATAATGTCTGTATTTATGTTTACAACATTGACAACAACAAAACTTATAACCTTTTCCCCTTTCTACAGATTGACTGATTGACTAGCGTGTCGGGAAGGTTTGTTGGAGTGGATGAATGACTCCCAATCGGTCTGTCTACTACCTAAACCCTTTCTACAGATTGACTGGTGACTAGCGTGGTGGGAAGGTTCGATGGACTGAATGAAAGCCTTTCTCCATCTGTCTGCTAGCTAAACCACCAAGAAGAATTCTTCTTATTATTATTATTATTATCGTTGTAAATCGCTTAAGTGTTTAATAAAGAAATAAATTTATATATAATGTGTTTACTTTTCCCTCGTTTATTGCTCTCACCATGTTGGTCACGTTACGATATAGATTACACATATTTAACAGAAATAATACTAAAAGGGGATTGCACAGAACAATGGTTGATGGTATGGGGAGCGGGTGGGGATGAGGGGTGGGAGTGATTGATGGCTGACAGGTGTGGGTCTGTCGTATGTACCTCGCTCCCCTCCTTACTGGAATCGCAGTGTATGGGGAACCGTGGCGGGATGAACAGCTCCAAGTCTGGTCTTAAGACAACGAAAACCCTTTAAGGGAATGACCCACTTCCGCAGGAGGGTGCTCTCTCGCTCTCTTACCCTCCTCTCCCACTTACGACTTCCTGTAGGGGGAAGCTAATGGACGTCCAGGCGTTCCTCTCAGGTAAGGGGGTTCTCCTCTCCCTCCCCCCCCCCCCCCCCTCCCCCCAAACAACATATCCACTATGTTGGATCCCCTCAACCTCTACTCACGATCATCAAACTATTATCGTCACACAGGATTAAGTCTATGACAAACACATACATATTCATTTACTCACTAGTCTCACATATCCTGCTTCCCTCACCCGATACACCCACATACTAGAACCGCGCGCACCACATCCTCCGCCGTCATAACACACACATACTGCACTCTGTCCAACATATCCTGCCGTCAACACACACATACTCACTAACATATCCTGCCGTCAACACACACATACTCACTAACATATCCTGCCGTCAACACACACATACTCACTAACATATCCTGCCGTCAACACACACATACTCATTAACATATGCTGCCATCAACACATAGATGCTCACTAACATATCCTGCCGTCAACACACACATACTCACTAATATATCCTGCCGTCAACACACATATATCCACTAACATATCCTGCCGTCAACACACCCATACTAACATATCCTGCAGTCAACACACACATACTAACACTAACACATATCCTGCCGTCAACACACACATACTAACATATCCTGCCGTCAACACACACATACTAACATATCCAGCCGTCAACACACACATACTAACATATCCTGCCGTCAACACACCCATAGCCGGTCGGCCGAGCGGACAGCATGCCTTGTGATCAAGGTGCCGGCGAGAAACATTGGGCAGAGTTTCTTTCATATGCTCAGCAGTAAAATAACATATGTCTGCCCTGGGGGTGGAGGCCTCAACACACTAAAAAGCCCCGATCATCTCAAGAAGATCACTAACATATCCTGCCGTCAACACACACATACTCACTAACATATCCTGCTGTCAATACACATACTACCATATCCTGCCGTCAACACACATACAAGCTAACATATCCTGCCGTCAACACACACATACTAACATATCCTGCCATCAACACACACACATATTAACATATCCTGCCGTCAACATACACATGCTAACATATCGTGCCATCAACACACACATACTCAGTAACATATCCTGCCGTCAACAAACACACACATTCTGACTAATATATCGTGCCGTCAACACACACACATAGTCACTAACATATCATGAGGCTAAACATTCTGTTATTTTCGGTGATGTAGCACCATAATAATATTTTCAGGATCAAAATCATTGTTTTAAAAATAAAACAACAATATAATGGTGCGTATCTGTGAGGTGACGGAGATGTATGGAATATTGGACTATTCAATGTTGAGGAGAAGCTGACATATTGTGGTTGACTACCATCAGAACAGCATTTACCTGCTTCATGTCCTCATAGCGGATGAAGAGTATATGGTCTTCGTGCCTCATCTTCCAGAAGTTGAGAATGTGGCGCCAGATGGGAGAATACGAGACTGGTGCCGGGGAAGAAATTAACGATGGTTAGACGTTATATTAATGCTTTAATTACTGCTGGAGACCTTCCAAGCCAACATAATATTAACTCTGATAAAAACAGGTATATTTTAAACTGGAGTGTTATGGGACATTTGTTAGTCAACTAACCCCCATGTACGAGAAAACAGGAGGATTTTTTCACCTATTAAACACAACAAAATAAAAGTCCCATTGGCCAATACATGGCACCTCCTACTTATAATCACCCAAACTTATTCACATATGTGTGAACTTGACTTGAATCAATACATCGGTTCAGTAATGTTTCAAGATAATTTGTTCTGTAAGTCAACAACCTCGTTTTCAAACCAGTATTTACAAGGTCTTTTCTAAATCCTGACAATCCAATTTATATCCATAATTTCGTTGTTTTGTGATTATATATTTAAAATCTTATTTATATCCCCATCATTACACCCTTGTGATATTATGGCCGGTAATGGGAACCAACCCATTAATTGTGTTAATGCCAGAGACACTGAAGTAGGAAGAGTTAAGAGTGAGGAACTAATGTTCTAGTTTAAAACAACCATTAAATTAAGATTTAGACATGAATCCAAATCATAAGTGACACTCTTACATGATGGGCAGTTGGAAGTAAACGGCTGTTTAAGGCATATAATTATTCCAAAAACTAGTGGGATTTACCAGTGGGATTTTATATTTCTGTATTATGAATATATTTATTTATTTGTTTATTTAATTAATTATATTTTATTTTTATATTAAATTATTTATTTGCGAGTGGACTGTATAAGTAAAATTTAACCCACTAATAAACTCCTCACAAGCTTGGGGTTTTTAATTTTTTCTACCAAATCAAATCTAATCGATTGGGAAAAAATTATACTAATGATTAAACTACATTGAACATTAGTTAATTCTATGAAATGGACAAGCTTAGCTATGTCTGTAGAATGTAGCCAGGTTAACAAGCATTGGACACGTGCGGATCACGTAAACTCGATCACCTGAACCATGTGATAATGGCGTCGTCGGGTGTTGTGTGATAAACCAGTCAAGTTGTTGCTAATGTCTCATATAGTCACAATTTCACCTGATGGAATGTTACATTATAGACAACGCAAACAACGTCTGCCATGCAGATACAACATGAAATATAATTAACATTAATAATGGATGCTTACCCATTACGGGTGTTAATCTTGCAATATAACTGGTTAATCCTGCAATGTAACTTGTCAAGGTCATCATGTAGCCTCTGGCTACCTTCCTCGGTCTTAATCCTCCTCATAATTCTTCCATCATCAATAAACATTGGCAGAAACGAGTCTATTCCCAATGGGAGATCATTTACATATATCAAAAACAGAAAAGATCCAATGACTGAACCCTGTGGGATTCCACTTTTGATATCTTGCCATCCCTGAGACCTGTCCCCTCACAGTCTTCTGTTGCTTAGGTACTCCTTTATCCATTGGAGAATCTTTTCTTGCCTGCAGCAACGTGTGACAACTCTTCCAGGACGAAATTCAATAACAATATGGCAACACCTCAGTATTAATATTAGTGGAACTCATTAGGTTTTTGATTTCCAAAAAGTATTCTAGAACAAAATATTACTATCGATTCACTTATATAATAATTGCCTTCATCTTTTCTTTAATAACACATGACTAATCAATATCGATAAAATATGCTGGAACACGAATTTATGCATTCTGATATGCAAATACTGTCACAATAATTCACTCCACGAAGATGAAGCAAATAACATTAATTTCCTATCAAACAAGGGAAATTGGGAGGGAAATTTAATCTACCTTATTATGAAGAAAGGAGGCTCAAGTCCTAGCAGCCTGTTGCAGTTGGTAGATACTCCCTCCGGGACTTCTGTGTGGCTCTTGCAGAGTTCCCCTTTTTATCCTCTTAGTAAAAACCAAGGTAGAATCTCTTCTCACCGCTGGTCGACGACTGATCTCAGAAGGATTATTCACTGTGTGATCATAAGTGATCAAAAGGATCACTTGGATTAGGCGAATGTCTCCCAGACAGTGGGAGACGCTGAATAATTCCATCTTCTACGTTGAATACTATTCCCTTTCTCCTCTAAAGAAGTGCTGTAGCTCAGTAACTGATATCTCGCCAGGGTGCTCTGCTTCCGACTCTAGGACCAGGACTTGCCACCCAAATACTCATCGCAGTATCACCTCCTGGAGCGGCCCGCGGATTGAAGTATGATCCCCCAGCACTGTTCTTGAGACACACAGGAGTACTGATGTCACAGATCTTCTTGAAACCTCCTGTCACGTTCCAGCTCTCTAAATCTTCCTCAAGACGTTGGTCCGCAGCTCTTCTATGTTGCCATTCGAGTACTGCTTAGAGTAATGTCCGTTCTAGTGGCATGAACCTCACCTATATGGGACCGACGTTCGATGTAACCTGGCATGTTCTTCTCTAGGTTGCTAGTGACAGTGGGCGGCTTCTCCCTCCTAAAACCTCGGGCGCTGTCGTCACACCATGGGCGTTCTCTGATTGGTCAAACTGGAAACACTACTGCATCGAACCAGTTATTTTTTCCAAAACCAGGAGACAATACATTACCGCTTCTGGAGTATTTGGTGGAAATTTGTCGCCTCCTCCCTGAGCTGATGAGCCTTTTTTGCTGCAGTACTCACTCTCACCTCCTCCCCAACCAACTTAAAAACTTCAATAATTCAAACCTTTGGCATCTCGCCTTGCTCTAAATATTATCAAACGAAACTAGGTGCCTTCTTGGCTATTTACATGGGAGAATATGACTTTTAATAGTCGGGCAAGGAGAGTATTTAGACAGTCCACGTAACAAATATCATAACCTTTCAATTTATGTTCATGTGGTAGTTGAAGAGATATGTAGACAAACTCCTTGCAAGTTGTGGATGAGTGCATAATTACTTGAATTGCACGCTTGGAGTTACAACATATTGAATATATCTCAACTGGTAATGATGTGATTATTTGGAGAGCTTGGTGTAGGGCATAAAATTCAGCTGTGAAAATACCTAATTGGTTTGGTAACCGCCATCCCTGCTTGAGATGGTATGGTGGGATCCACCCAGCACTAGGAACCAAGGGTGCGTTGTTCAGGAGGATGAGAAATCCATCGTAAATCGCTGTGGTAGCAATTTGTTTTTATCTTTGAAGCAACAACTGGGACTGGATGAGTTTGGTGCAGACTTTGGAATGTTGTCTTCAAACTGTGTTGATATTTTAGGTGTCGTATAAAAACAAGGTGGAATAGGGGGGACAGTAAGTTGGGTTTCAAAGTTTGGAGTAAAGTGAGGTCTATATTGAGGTTATCCGTAGCCCGTGTGAGGAAAGATTGTGAGTGATTGGTGGGGAAGCAAGGGGGGGGGGGGGGTTATGTGGGTTAACTGTTGGGTTAATTGTTGATCTGTATGGGAGTGTTTGGTGAGCAGTGAGTGACAGATAGTTGGCACACATTATGTCTCGTCTTAAGGCTAAGATTGTGAGGCCTGTTTCCCCGTGAAGGCCGAGGTTAGGAGAGGAACGCATTGCGCCACACATATAAGTCGCATGGCATGTATGACCTCAAGGCTCTGAAGGTTAGTAGGGGCAGCCGACACATATCCCTGGCAACAATAGTCTAGATGACCGCGAATATCGGTTGTATAGAAACGGAACGAAATTTCATGGTGTGCTCCACAGGTGGTGCCACAGAGGGCTTTAAGTATGGCGAGTCGTGGTTATGTCGTCTGTTTAAGAAGTTGAATGTGTGCTTTCAAGGTAAGAAAAGGCGAGTCGAAGTGCATGCCAAGGTATTTATGTTCTCGTAGGTGTTGGATGGGAGTGTTGTGTATTGTGAGGGTAGGTAGATGAACAAGTCATTATTTAGTGAAAATCTAAAAACATGTTTTAGTAGTGCTAAATTGGAGGCTCATTTTTGTGTGCAAGCAATAAAGTGGTCAAGTGTCAACGAGGTGGTTTTAAACTGTATTAGTAAGGCATTGTCTGAGTAATACAATGTTAAATCACCAGCGTATGCCGAGAGGTAAACCAGGTGGGTGTTTGGTATTTTGGCAAAGAAGGCAGCAAAAAGGGATGGGCTTATACTGGAGCCATGTGGGACATCTGTTTGTATAGGAATGCTATCTGAGAAACCGGCTTGTATATCGACTTTGGAGGTCCTATTTGTGAGACAGGACTGTAGCCATAGAAGTAATCTTCCTTGTACGCCTAAACGTGCAAACTTAGCTAAGAGGCAAGTATGAGAAATGCTATCGAAAGCTCCTTAAGGTCTAAGTAGAGAACAATACAAAATTTACTTTTTCTATGTGAATTGCAGATTTCATGTTCAAGGCAGAGTATTCGATTAAGTGTAGAAAGATCCAGTAAGTTCAGTAGAACTTCGGTTTCAACTCCTTTTGACCATGTCGTAGCTCAGTCGATTAAGACAGCATCTGAGATGCTCTCGGACGCAGGTTCGAATCCTCGTCACGGCCCTTGTGGATTTGTTCATTTGATGCATCACGCAATTGTGATTTCTGTGTGTAAGGTGTACATGATGTCGACGCCGAGCATTGGTAGCAGTATGGTATGGTCAATTTCTTGTCGGAGGGAGAGTTCTTGCGCATGAAGGAAGGGTGTTGAGAGGGGTAACTTAAAGACATTCAGCAAGAACATTGGCACTCTCCTGAAGTATTCAACAGATTGAGCCGTTGATCATAAGGGGAAACGAAGAGAATGTTGGTCGACCTTTAATGCTGTTAAATGTGGCCCAGAATTATAAATATGGGTGGTGGGTGTCAGTCTTTCACAAAACTGTGCCCATGATGGTCGCTTTGCTGACAGTATGATTCTTTTGGCTGCTGCTGTGGCCCGTCGGAGATTGACCCAGCTCTGTAGGGAGGGTTGACATCTTTGTCTTTGAATGGCTCGCCGGCGTAAAGCGACTGTTCATGCACATTCCGCGTTCCACCACGTTTTAAGTGGT